GCCTTCTGAACCACGTTGGACGATTCTTGCCGAATGTGTCGGCCACGACTGCTCCGATCAGACTCCTCCTCAACAAGGATACAGTATGGACCTGGGGATCAGCCCAAGCTTCCGCCTTCGAGTCGCTGAAGAAGATGGTGGCCTCCAGCTCTTGCGTCGCCCGCTACAACCCCGAGTACCCCACGACTGTATCTGCTGATGCCAGCTCGTACGGCCTGGGCGCCGTACTCCTACAGGAGCAACCGTCAGGGGAACGCCGAGCGGTCGCGTTTGCATCGCGTGCCTTGACAGCCGCTGAAGAACGGTACAGTCAGATAGAAAAAGAAGCGCTCGGAGTCTCGTGGGCAGTGCAGCGCTTTGAAGAGTTTTTGCGTGGCCTCAGCTTCACTGCTGAGACTGATCACCAGCCACTCGTCAGGTTGTTAGGCACTGCCGACCTCGACCTTATGCCTCCCCGCATCCAGCGTTTCCGCATCAGACTTCTGCGGTACCAGTTTTCAGTACGGTACGTTCCGGGGAAGTACCTGGCCACTGCTGACACGCTGTCACGGGATCCCGAAGGCCCCTCTCTAGCTGCCTCTTCCACCGACAGTGTCGAGCTCTTTGTGTCGCAAGTCGTGACAGCCCTTCCTTCGACTCTGGCGGTGCGCCTCGACGACTTCAGAAGGCATCAAGCGTCAGATGCCGAGTGCTCCGCGCTGAGGGTCTACTGCACTAGAGGTTGGCCAAGACGAGATAGACTCCCCTTGAATATGACCCGTTACTGGGACCACCGGGGCGACTTCTCCATTTGCGAAGACCTGCTGCTCATGGGTGGACGGCTCGTCGTGCCTTCGCTGCTGCGCAAGGACATTGTGGGCCTGCTCCACGACGGACACCAAGGTGTGAACCGGTGTCTGGCCCTGGCCAAAGACTCCGTGTGGTGGCCGGACCTCAAGAACCAGGTCAAGACTGCCGTTGAGAACTGTACTGCGTGTGCAAGCACCCGAGTTCAGCGTTGCGAACCCATGCTTGCCACGGAAACCCCTTCAGTGCCATGGGAGCGGGTTGCTGCTGACTTGTTCTACTTAGATGGCCAGGACTTCCTTCTCGTTGTGGACTACCGTTCGAGGTACCCCGAGGTCATTACGCTGCGGTCGACGTCTGCGGATGCAGTCATCTGTGCCATCAAGAGCATTTTCGCGCGGCACGGCATTCCACAGACCTTCTTCAGTGACAACGGGCCGCAGTTTGCCTGCAAAGCGTTCCAGGACTTCGCGAAATCCTACGGATTCACACACCTCACGAGTAGTCCTCGCTACCCTCAATCGAATGGTGAGGCTGAGAGGATGGTCCGCACAATCAAAGAACTGTTCCGGAAAGCGGAGGACCCCTTTCTGGCACTGCTAGCGTACCGGAACACTCCCGGTGTGTCGGGATACAGCCCTGCCCAGCTCCTGATGGGACGTTCTCTACGAACACGCCTACCCGTCACCGACGCAAGCCTGGTTCCGGATTGGCCTCAAGTCAAGGACTTTAACGAGCGCGACGCTGCCCAGCGTCGTAGACAGCAGAAAGACTTCAATTCTCGCCACTGTACGCGGGATCTTCGCCCTCTCCAAGACGGGGAGGAAGTGTGGGTACAAGACGCCCAGTCCACGGCAACGGTTCTGAGTCCTGCTCAGAGGCCACGGTCGTATGTCGTCCAGACGCCCAGCGGTGTTCTCGTGCGAAACCGCAGACACCTCGTCCCCTGCAGCAGCCCTCCATCTTCTGCAACTCCTCAAACAACTGACGAATCGGCAGCTCTGCAGCAGGCTTCCGAGGACAGCGACAGCGGAGGAGCACCTCTTGCATCTCTGCGAGCACCTCCAGCTTCTCCAGGGACTTCACGACCGCGCTACTCCCGTTATGGACGGCGTGTGATTACCCCTAAACGACTGAACTTGTAGGGCATGTTCTTTTTGTTCTGCTGCGCATAGGGCAGGACTAGACTGAGCATATTTTCGTTGCTCTTGTGTATTTAGGCATTGCTTCTCTTTACGGACTGGGGTGCGTAAAGACTGCCAAAGGTTTCATCGTAAGGCTTTCCTTTAAGCTTCTAAGTTTCGTAAGCATAGGGCTCCCGAAGGGGGGATGTAGAGGACGCTAGTGTAGCGACAGAACAACTATGAATCGTGGCGCCACCTTCGGGTTTTGGAATGGTGTATTTAAACAATGTGCAAAATAAACCAGGAGCTTTTTTCTCAACCGAACCACGTGGCTGGCGGGTCGACTCACTCTCGGCCGCCTCGGCCGCTCGCGCCTGATCCTTGCGCGCTCGAGCCTTCTTCAGTTTCCAACAGCGAAAATATTAGGAAGAGCAGTTTCAGTGTTAAATATGTGCCGAATTTCGACAACACTTTCAGGAATCCGCTCGCCTTGCTTCGCGGACTTCGTTTGTCAATGAGCAAAGAATATCGTGAGCCATCATTTCAATTGGTTAAAAATTTCAGGAGAAAGCCATTTGTACCAGATCAGCAAAGCCAAGGTTGCAGCTGTAGTATGACAATTGCGCGTAGTTCCAGGAGCTGCCTTACGTTGCTTTCTGCGTCATCATGCCTATATACAGCTGGGCCTTGACATGCCAAGTATAGTGCAACGAAGATACTATGGCTAAAAGTGAATTTCTAGCGTACTGCATTTCCTTTTGCTTTCCTTTAAAGAAACAAGAAGCCACAATTAGGCCCATATCTGCAGATGATTTAAAGGATAAGGTTGCCCGATGAAAACCGGAGGCTTGTGGCTTTCAAATGTCCATGGCCATGTCAAGAGATGCAACGAGGCAAAAGATCTATCGAGTAAAAAGGTCCAATAATGAATCTCTTAACGCGTTGGACTTTCCGATTCGCCAGACACGAGTCAAGAGATCCAATGTGGGTCAAGCGGTCCAACGCGCCAAGAGATCCAACGAGTCAGAGGGTCCATGGAAAGTCAAGAGGTCCAACGAGTCAGAAGGTCCAATAATAGATATCTTGACACGTTAAATCTCTCGGTAGACGCGAGTCAAGACGTCCAATCTGGGTCAAGATGTTCAATGACTCGATAACTGCCGCATCATATTGCAAGAGGGTCACGGAAAGCCACTCAACAATCCTCTCCTATAGTCGCGAGGAGGCACGTTCAAAACAAAGCAATTTTGGTTTATCAGTGGTCAAAATTACGTTGCTATTAAAGAGGTCATAAACGATTTTCGTACTTCGGCCAAACAGGTGTGGCAGGTACTCTACCTCAGTTCTTTTTTAAAAACAGAAAATGATTTTTGCCAGGTTCCTTAGTCTTCGTAAAAAAAAATGAAAAAGGTTTAACTTATTAATGAAGATAATTAGGTCGAACTTTCACCGGCCTTAGTGGTCACCATCAAATTTAAATATAATGTGTAAATTGTGACATGTTGCAAATCGTTTGGTACTTGAAAATTACGATAGTAGGGAATTTTAACACCAGCAAGAGATGTTGCTCGCCCGAAAATAACATGGCTGCGGTGATAAGCAGTTTGACATTTTAATGAACAGTGACACTGCACCTTGATTTCTGTATAAAAAATTAAGTGTGTGCAAGTTAAATAACATAAAATGTTGATGACGTCACGTTCAATTAAGGAAGGCTGTTCACGGTCCTCGATTTTTAATGTACTCCGCTGCACCTCATGATTGACCGCAACGGAGGTTACGAGGATCACCGGAGCCAATGCAAAGCCGAGTGAGTCCCATGTGACCTTCCGGAGGGGCGCAGCGTGGAGCGTGCGGTCACGTGATACGTTCTGAGCGCCTGATTGGCTGGGATGGTTCGTAGTGAGCGCTGCGGTCCATCGGTAAGGTGACGCGGTCCTCGAAACTACAGGAGCGCGCTGGCTGTTCATCGTAAGTCACGGAGCACGCCACAGAAACAGTGCACGCACTTTAACTTTAGCAAAATGTTTGGTATTCACGTAATGGGTAAAAATGTTGCCAATATGTGTGTAATAAATACGCTCGTTGTTCAAACGTAGCGTATAATGTCTTTTTTTTTTTCTTGCATTTTTAAAGATTTTGTATAATTTTTGGGGGGGTTTTTTTTTGGTTTTTTTTACATCGCAAAACTATAGGGAGAGTAACTAAAGGTGCGGAGGAGATGAGAGCTTCCGGGGACGTCCGAGTCCCGAGTATTGATGCAAGGATTAGTGGGTAAACGCAAAGCCTAGGTATACCTTTGTCTCTCGTCACTGTTCGAACGCATTCGAACGCCGATTGCCCGCATCCGAACGCGAGACTGCGCGAGGAGCTGACGACGTTATTGTTTGTTCTGACTGGAGGGAGACTGCGCTTAGAGACCAAGGCAGCTGTAGCCTCTCCGAATGCCCACTAAGCTTCCCAATCAGAGCTTGGCGTCCTGACGTTCTCGCGCGCTCTCATTTCCTCCTCACGTTAAAGTTCTCTTCGTAATAAAGTAAAATTAGAAAAATCGCAAAATTAAAAAAAAAAAAAAATGTTTTCTTTTTTAAAAACAAATTTTATTTGGCTATTAATTAGTCAGAAATCACACATTCGCAGAAACGTATGGCGAAATCATATTTTCAATTGTGTAGTAAATGGCATGAAAAAAAGTATGAAACGATTTTACCATGTTTTTGTGCAATTTTTCGTTGTGCTTTTTTTTTCTTTGTTTTAGGACACGTGTTACACCGTTTGGGAAAAACGCTAGCGAAGAGGGGGAACGTTAGGATCGAAATCTCGGTGCGTTAATCGCTCTTCTGCGGGTGTTTTTTTTTTATTTTTTTTTATCGCATTTTAATTCAATGAAATCAATTCAATGTACCGTGAGATTGCGGTGTTACGGATTTGTGTCCGCCATTGTGCAGGAATTCCAAAGCTTCCAACAGAGGGCAGTCCTTCGAAACGGGTCTATAACTTCCGATTGAATCGAAAACGCGCATGAAGGCAATGTGTAAAGATAAAAAAAAAACGTTTCCGTAATCGACGGGTCGATGCGCGTATACGTACCGAGGGAAGTAGTTGCAGACATAAATATTTGTGCCTATGACGCTGGTGCAGTTCTTCCACGCACATCCCAGCCAGCTGGATCTGCTCCAGAGAAGCTGCAAGGCGGACCATAATTAGTTATCAGGAGTCTCAGAAATAATTCTCCAAACACATCGTAAGATCTTCACAAAAGTTAGAATGTGAGTCGAATGCGTTTCTGGTACCGATTTCAACTGGATTACGTTTAACTTTTTTTTTTTCACGCTGAAAGCAAGCTTTGAATTTAAGAATTGTAAGATGATCAAATTAACCCCACTTTCATAGCCCCTCCCGATTCAGCAACTCAACCCATGATCGAGTTTATGTGTGAGCAATATCAAAATTTTGTGTAAGTTACGTTACGACTTGAGAGCTAGATTGAAACCTAAAAGCAATCACAACAGCTTTTTTTCTTCTTTTTTTTTTACCAGTCTTTTTTACTTTTTTTATGCAGGGAGACGTTTTTTACTGGTAAGGCTTTCCGGTGACAATGACATCGGTTTCAAAGTAAAGCTTGCCCGTTTGTATACTTACTTTCACCGGAAAAATAAAGCGCTCGAATAATTTTGTTGCCATTTTCCTGACTTGCAATTGGAGAGAGATCAACACAGAAGTTGATCGCTCTCCAGTTTCCCGCCCAACCAGAGGTGAGGTAACACCCTCCGAACTGTGAATTTTGCTCTGGTAACCACAGCGGAAAGGAGTATCGAAATTTCGGCGCGTGCAATGCTGTACTTCGGTTCGGGCTGTGCGAAGGGATGAGAGCACACGCTCACCTGGCTGAGGACCGACGGTTTGAGCTGGATCGTGCCGTTGGAGCGACCGGTGGTTCCGAACTGGGGTTGGGCGTGGGACCACCGCCTCACCACCGCGCTCCAGTCGCGGGGCCCAGCGTGGGCGAACATGTTCTGGCCCGGTCTCTCGTCCAGACCTGGAGCATCGCGCGCCGGACATAACCAAGACCTCCTAACTAAAGTCCCTTGACAGTCTTTTTACAAGTACGACAAGCAATACAAATGAAAGCACCAGTGGCGTACCAACTAGTTTTCGAGTGTGTGTGTGTGGGGGGGCGGAGCAAACCAGACCCCCCCCCCCCAGGGCCAGGGGCGGTGCCCTTGGTCTCCCTTGGGTGCTGCCGGTCAGTGTTTGCCCTGCCCAGTGGCGGCTGTATCAGGGGGGGGGGGGGGGGGGGGGGCAAAACACATGTCGTGCCCCCTTCCCCCCCCCCCCCCACACTCTGAGAACTGGGGGGGGGGGGGGGGGGCCCTTTGCGCCCCGCCCCCCTCCCCCGGGTTGGTACGCCCATGGAGAGCACATTCCGCTGGAACAAAATGGCGTCATTCAGTTCAGACTTCTGCTGTGCGCCGCCATTCGCTTCCTAAAACCTGCACCGTCACGCAGTCGGCGCCTCAAAAAATGTCGCTACCCTTATCTAGGAACTTTACTACTAACGAGGCCGAAGGGCCGAACACGTCACCCAGAGAGGCAAACGCTGGACGCTGATTGGAGACGAGCGTTGCTTCAGCGTTCGGCTCAGACTTGTCTCCAACCAGAGAGGACACGAGTCTCCGCCAAATGCTGACGCATCAGTCCTGTCCAATCAGCGCCCATCGTTTCCCTCTTTGGCCGAGTTTTAAATTCTGCCCTTCGGCCTTTGTGCTTCCTATGATGGACTAAAGGCCAAAGCTACGGACCGCCAGATCCAATCACGATCCACTTAGACATTGTGCGGTATTTCGCTTCGATGACCATATCGGTGCCCGCGTCTCGGATCACTGATGAGGGGACGGGTGGAGAGTGCTTCGAATCGAAGAGCACTGACTGACTCAACAATTTTACATCGCGAAGAAAGCCACGACAAATACGCTCTTAGCAGCGTAGAAGCTATAGAAATGATGCGGCGCTTTTGGATTCGAGCATTATTAGTCCACCTCTAATCAATGTTAAGCGTGTCATAATATAGCGCGGAACGTGATTGGACCTGGCGGCCCGTGGCTTTGGCCTTTAGTCCATCGTAGGATGAGACAAAGTATATATGATGCGGTGTTGACAGGACTACAGCGTTCTACAGAGGTTATTTCTTCCTTTAGAACGCTGTAGCATGACCGCTTCCCTCGCAGCCAGTGACATCCAGTAACCGTTTCACAGTCACGTCTCTCATCGCCACTGCGAATCCTCCGCATGCAACAGCGAACATCCAGCCATTGTAACAGTTGCTGTACCGAAATAGGCGAAACGGCGTTTTAGTTTTAAAGACTGAAGCCCCAATCATGATGTGCACGACCGATTATTTTTGTCCTGTGCCGCTAACAACATTAGGGATTTTTTTTTTTTTTTACCCCAGGTTGCTTCCTCTTTTACGCCATGTATTCGTTAAAGAAGTTTTTGTTTTGTGCGCGCGTGTGTGGGCACTGTAAAAAGCTTTACAAACAAACATAAACAAAAACTGAATTTTTTTTTATCTGTGCGATTTATCGGCTTTATAGCGTTCCTCTGAAAGCTGCGGAATACTGACCGCGTTTTACTAAGTCCTAAAAATTTACGCGTCGCAACAGACTTCTCCTGTCGGTAAAGCAAACGAAGATGTTGCCGTTGTATGCGGTCACGCACACTGCACAGTTCAAACACTCAGCTTCACTGCCAGACGTGCGTCATACCACTTCTTTTTTTTTTTTTTGCCCGCGTTTATTTTTGCTTTTTGGCGGGTTCGCACTCGCACTCCGTTCCCCCCTATCGACCCGCATCGCGGTGGAAGCTACGTGGTCGCAGGACATGTTTATCTTTCACCGCGTGATCACGCTCTCGCCAGATGCCTACACGCAGACAGCGAGGACAAAAGGGAGGCGTTCGATTGACCCGGTGAGCCCGTAGCTCTCACACACTGTCAGCTTCTGGGATAGAGTTGATTGAAGGCCACAGTACAGTAGGTGCACGCGCTGACAAACATACGGCTGCGTTTCCGTCCTTTCACGGGGGAACAATTCCCTGCCAACTTCGCGCCTTCTTTGTCTTGGTTTACTCAGAGACCGCTTGTGTCACAGATACATCGAGCGAGATCCCTCAAAACTTCCCTTCTAGCTTGTCACGAATTCTTAACATTTACGGCCGCAAACAGCTGGCCTCGTGCACAGAGGGGCCGGGAACTTCACTTCAAACCAGAAACGAACAGCCCTTCCCCCCCCCCCCCCCCCTCCGCCCAAAAAAAGTCTTTTTTGTTTTATTTTTTCTTATTGGGGGGTAATAAACGGCAGCTTTTCACGAAGTTGGTATATAAATTGCACACGCACTGAGATATGTGTGCATGCGTGGCGTCTCATATTTTCCATAGAAGAGAGCTACTTATCGTACGCTGAACGCGTTTAACAGCCCAGAAGATAAAGATGGCAGTGCACAGAAAGCGAAGAGTGGAATGGTCCAGGAGCATCAGCGGACCAACCCCGGGGGGGGGGGGGGGAGGCAAAGGGGGCGCTTGCACCCCCCCCCTCCAGTTCTCAGAGTGGGGGGGGGGGCAAGGCATCTGTTTCGCCCCCCCCCCCCCCCCCTGAAACAGCCGCCACTGGGCAGGGCAAACACTACCCGGCGGCGCCACAGGGACACCAAGGTTACCGCGCCCGGCCCTGGGGGGGAGGGGGGGGGGGGGGGGGGGGCTGGTTTTCACCCGCACCCAAAAACAAGTTGGTACGCCACTGTCCAGCAGTCACATTTAGTTGCCCGGTCGGCGTTGCAAACGAACACATTTATACTAAGCCCGCCGCGCCAACGATCGCGGCCTACTTCATGAGCAGTTAAAGGGTAACTGCAAAGAAAAAAAGTTTTCTTTTTTTTTTTCTAAACAGCCTAATTGGGACAAGCATGTCTCAAAACAAATCTTCCGCGAAAACAATTTCTATTTTTTAGCAATCTTTATACCACAGGACGTAATTTAGTCGGAGTCACAACCTCTCCACATTTGATACTCCCGCTTCTTCGACCCGTCCTCATTCTTGGATTTGCTCTTGGATTGACTTGGCTGCGGAGTACGCAACGTCTCGACTTCCGGCGCGTCTTGTCGTCTTGTCGAACGCAGCAGATCGGGGGGGGGGGGGGGGGGGGGGGATGTACGCAGGAAGCTAGAGTTGGTTTGCTTTCACTGTTTTTGTTTGGTCGGAGTCCCGGAGAAAAGGTTTGCGAGCACATGTAGCGAAGACGTGACATGAGAAGTGCCCCTGTGATGTTCCCGGAAGACGGAAAGTATCATTCGTAATCGTCGTGTGTGCTTTGAAAGCGAAGGGAGTCGCAGGGTCCACGAGTGCGCAACCACAAGCCAACGTTCACAACAGCGCTGCGTTGACTTCAGCGATCTCGTTTTGTTTGGTGCAACACCTCGATGCGACAAAGAACTGAAACGTTCGTGCTGTGTGGTCCGGGCCTGTAAGTAGAAACCCACACTAACACGGAGGGCAAATTGGTTGTTGTGGGGTTGAGGTTCAACGGGTTCAGTCCCGTCGTCGTCAGCTGATCCGGTCCAGCTGGTCCGGGAGGACGTCGCAAGCTGTGGCAGCGAGCGTTTTTAAAAGGAAATCTTCCTTCGTTTTATTTCAATATGTGGATGATTCCCGACGCTAAACCGTGAGTAAAAAGCTGCGGGGCGTTTTCAATAAAATTACGTGTTTTAATTTATCAATAGACTCCTGATTGTTGTCCTAAATCTGCCGTTTCTATGCTTCGTGTAGTTGGACTGCGTTTGCACAGCGACGTGTTTGCACAACGACGCACACCGCCCGAGTAGATGATTCGGTCCTGCAAACGTCCGGTTATACAGAATTTCAGGGAAACGTAATGGTGTATTCGCACGAGAGATCTTTATCCCCGGAGAAGACCGAGTACGTCATAGAGCTGAGAGAAGGAAACCGCACGAGAAGGAGGAGGCAGTGCACAAAAACCAAGCGAGCATTGGCACGACCGAGTCGCATGTAGTTAAGTCGCCGGAGTTGTTCTTTTCGCAAGCCTGTTGGCGACTTTCGGGGGCTCATTGAACAAAAAGGCAGGCGAAAAATAACAAAGAAAAGGCACCCCACATTTGAAAGCTATTCATTATGATCCCTCCCCAAAAGCAGGGGGACAAAAGAGGGGGCCCGATCGCTCCGAAGGATACGGACGGAACGGCGGATATTCTGTAGGCCTGCCACAGATTCTCCTCGGGCCCCCGCGAGCATGCCGCGAGCTCGGGAGATCAGCGAACATCCGCGACGCGGAGCACCTGACCTCAAAACTCGATGACGTTTATTTTTCTCCTTGGGAAGAATCTCCGTCGTGCGAATACACCATAAGTCACCACCGATATTTTCCTGCAAATCTCCTGAGTTAGTTACGCTCACCTTTAGGTGTGAATAATTTTGGGAACGATTTTCTACCTGCCCACAGATGCATGAACTGAGACCATTTTTTACGTAGTGAACATAGTGCTTTTTCTTTATTTTGGGAAAAGGCGTTGGTGCATTTATTATGATACAATCACTTGAGAGTTCAGAAATCGGGGAGGGCGACCAAGCTTTCCCAACTTTGTCTATTTCCTCTCTGGCACTAGCTGCCACTTGTTTCAAGTTGCAGTTTCAGTAGGCATACCTACTAGAACGTACAAACTGCTCTAAAGCAGGTAAAAGACAGGGGAAGTCAGGACGGTGCGGACTCCGTGTTTCGCAAAATGACTGGGGAAGTGCTTTCGCAAGGTATGCGGAATATGCAAACAAATCTGTTATGCCCGTCGTTTTCGTCTCTCCAACAAAACGAATAAGATGATTTACAAAGGCGAAATAACAAGCCAAGATTTACAACTTTACGTAAGGTGGTTCGGAAGCCGAGAAAAAAAAATCTGCAGAATTCGGACGTTCGAAGGCTTCTGCGGACAGCTGTTACGTAATAACCTGGCTTTGCAGGTTTTTTACGTAACAG